ACATCGATAACCATCACTGACTGTCATTTAGCACAATCAATCAACGCACCGACCGAATATCAAGTTGAGGATCGCGAATGGAAAACGATTGAGCAATAGTTAGAAATTCTAAAATTTAAGTGTGAAAAGATATTCAATGCGTACTGATGTGGATTAGGTGAGAAATCGATGAAACCGGGCTTGCAACGACAAATATATCCGTCGGTTGTATCTGTGCAAATTGCATCCGGTGAGCATTTGTGAGTACCATCAAGGCATTCGTTTTTTTCAGCAACACACAACCGACCAGGTTTATTGATTGGATCAGCACTCTGATCAATGAATCCCTTCTTGCAGATACACAAATAGCCATCGTCCGTATCGATACACTGTGCAGATTGATCACAATCGTGCGCGCCCAACAAGCATTCATCACGCACTTCAATTAATTTACTGTTACGTAAACTGAGTGCAAGCATTCAACAATATCAGAAGAAAACTTTTGAAACGAATGTGAAATACTTTAGAATATCTCATAGAAGATATAAAACGGCAAGCTGCTGATTAGATCCTTGATTATCGCTTTGTTAAAAACTTCACAACTGATCAGCGAAGATTTCAAAGTTGTTGTCGAGTATAAAACGATACAATGTATGTGTCAATAATCATTTCATTTTGACTGATTTCATAAGAAAACTTCAAATTTTAGGACTGCGTACGGCTGCACTAATGAAAAAATGATCACCTACACATTATAATCGCATTCATTTGGTTAAATCAATCAAATTATAATACTTACAACAAATTCCGGTCACGGAATGCCGTTTCTCTCCTTGTGAGCATTGGCACGAATGGTATTGGCCAGATGAATGAAGAAGACATTTTTCACGTTTTCGCCCGTCACACGGATTCGGTAAGGTCGGGTCACACGATCCCGGTATGGTGCATTCACCTGTTCTTGAATTACGTTCGTACCCAACCGAACATTCGCACTGAAATCGGGTGATATGCATATGTTATATTCTCGTTGCGTTCAGCAGAAATTACTCATTGATATGTCAAACTCACTCGATATTTGCCAGCCTTGTCACGAGAGCAGTG